AATCCGCGAAATTCGAAAACCTGAATTGAAATTGGGAATGTTGGCAGCTGAATTTCCAGGTAAAAACTAAACTGAAAAGTGAGCCGAATTCTTAACGATTTCACTTGGAGTACATTGTGCATTGTGTTTGTTAGTTTCGATAATCACGAAGACGTGTTTTCACGAGGCGCGAACTCAGTCCCGGGGTCCGAATCACTTCACATGTACTGAGTTCAGAGCATATCAGATTACCTATGGTATCCACTGACAAATGATGAATGTCTGTGTGTTTGACGTCCTTTGGAGTGATGCATGCTGCTGACTGGGTATTCCAATGATGTGCATAAAAAATTTTCCCTGCAGTGTTGTGAAAAGGCATTGTATTTGAAGAACCCCATGTTGTCATTTGCACATGTTGAGTGTGCGCATGATCGTGTCTAGCAAACAAACCATGTCTCATAGACGATCGGGGTTCTCAGCTCCGGGGAACAGCGGGTGAGTGACGGGAGTGGACGTGGGTGACAACTCACTTGGCTTCTTTTTTAGACGGTCCTGGAAAATCATTACTACCGGGACGATACCGAGCGATGCGGTTTCGAGGTCGCTCACACAGAGATTGAAAAATGTGGATGGTGATTGCGATCCATTGTTTACTACACCGGGTTCCATTCACGTCAATGAGAAAAAGAAACATGCGAATATTGCGAATCGCACTGTTCAATTGATTTGACTACAAGCAACTGTTGTTGATGAGTATTTGATAGAGTAAATTTAGCAGATTTTGCAATATGTTACTCAAATGACCATAGTTACCTCGATGGGTAAGTTAAACGATTCGGTGTTGAAGGTTACCCAATTAATTGAAACGGTCGAATTATACGACAAACACTAGTTCATGAACGGCAGTGAAAGACGGAGGGAGAATCAATAAATCCTTCTATTTACATGTCCAGTCATAATTACATCCATATGCGGGGTTTGGAGTTCTCACAGCGGTAAATTGACAAACCAGGCGAACACGAATGGGAGCGAAATATGAGTTTGATGCTTAGAAACTGCACAGTTCTTTTTCAATATCCGAGGAAGGTACTTGCTAACGGGGTCTAAATGACGTTCGGTCTCGAGGAAAATCGCTACTTATTACATATTACTACTCACAGTAGTGTAAATAGCTATTTGATTGTATTGACAAGAGATAGTGTGATGATAGTGTGATGAGCAACACGTTTGGATTGGCATGAGCTGCAATTCGATCGGTTGATGTGATTTTTACCGATAGCGCCCTGGCCCCGGAGCCTAGTTCTTAGATACGTATGGTGAGCAACCTGCACCAATCTTGCAAGATGAATTATGTTATATCGTGGGGAGACAATTCTATCTCCGACGATCCGGTGAGCCAAATAGTTGTGTATTCGTTTTTTAACACATCGTGACCAAACGATGTTAGGAGTGTATCGAAAAATCAATGCACCATGTGTTGTTTTATTGTGAATGTTATAGTGTTAATAACACAGCGATGTCGGTAGAGAATTATATTCGCCGACGTTTCGGTTACCGTGGCTAACCTTTCT